TCCAAGCTGATATGTGACCTGACATGTCCCAGATGACCTCCAATTGAGCTCTCTCATGACCCCAAGCTGACCTGTGTGACCTGACGTGTCCCAGATGATCTCCGTGACCTCCAATTGAGCTCTGATGACTCCCAGCTGACCTCTGTGACCTGATATGTCCCAGATGACCTCTAATTGAGCTCACTGATAACCCCAAGTTGACCTATGTGACCTGACGTGTCCCATATGACCTCTGCGACCTCTAAGTGACCTCTCTGTTGACCTTAAGCTGACCTCTGTGACCTGACGTGTCCCAGATGACCTCCGTGACCTCCAATTGAGCTCTGATGACTCCAAGCTGACCTCTGTGACCTGATATGTCCCAGAAGACCTCCAATTGAGCTCACTGATGACCCCAAGTTGCCCTCTGTGACCTGACGTGTCCCATATGACCTCTGCGACCTCTAAGTGACCTCTCTGATGACCCCAAGTTGGCCTCTGTGACCTGACATGTCCCATATGACCTCTGTGACCTCTAAGTGACCTCTCTCATGACCCCAAGCTGACCTGTGTGACCTGACGTGTCCCAGATGACCTCTGTGACCTCCTATTGAGCTCTGATGACTCCAAGCTGACCTCTGTGACCTGATATGTCCCAGATGACCTCCAATTGAGCTCTTTGATGATCCTAAGCTGACCTCTGTGACCTGACGTGTCCCAAATGACCCTCAGTTGAGCTCTGTGATGACCCCAAGTTGACCTCTGTGACTTGACGTGTCCCATATGACCTCTGTGACATCAAGTGACCTCTCTGATGACTCCAAGCTGATCTCTGTGACCTGACATGTCCCAGATGACCTCCAATTGAGCTCTCTGATAACCCCAAGCTGACCTCTGTGACCTGATATGTCCCAGATGACCTCCAATTGAGCTCACTGATGACCCCAAGCTGACCTCTGTGACCTGACGTGTCCCATTTGACCTCTGCGACCTCTAAGTGACCTCTCTGATGACCTCAAGTTGACCTCTGTGATTTGACGTGTCCCATATGACCTCTGTGACCTCAAGTGACCTCGCTGATGACTCCAAGCTGATCTGTGACCTGACGTGTCCCAAATGACCCTCAGTTGAGCTCTGTGATGACCCCAAGTTGACCTCTGTGACTTGACGTGTCCCATATGACCTCTGTGACATCAAGTGACCTCTCTGATGACTCCAAGCTGATCTCTGTGACCTGACATGTCCCAGATGACCTCCAATTGAGCAGTCTCTGATAACCCCAAGCTGACCTCTGTGACCTGACATGTCCCATATGACCTCTGTGACCTCTAAGTGACCTCTCTCATGACCCCAAGTTGACCCGTGTGACCTGACGTGTCCCAGATGACCTCCGTGACCTCCAATTGAGCTCTGTGATGACCCAAGTTGACCTCTGCGACTTTACGTGTCCCAGATGACTTCTGTAACCTCCAATTGAGCTCTTTGGTGATCCCAAGCTGACCTCTGTGACCTGACGTGCCCCAAAGTTGCCCTTTGTGACCGACGTGTCTCAGATTGCCTCCGTGGTCTCCAATTGAGTTCTGTGATGACCCCAAGTTGACCTCTGTGACCTGACGTGTCCCAGATGACCCCCATGTCTCTCTCTCTCTCTCTCTCTCTCTTTCTCTCTCTTTCTCTTCACGTGCCGGTGTCGCGGATCCTATAGGCAAATTTTGTACATACCAGTGTTGATACCCAGTCTCTGACCGGACATGTATTTTTCCTTCCCTTAGGATGCCGGCGGCGGCGACGACAGTGCGCCGGCGCACATCTCTATGGAGGTGGACACGGCGACCCTTGGGCGACCGCCGCTGCCGCGGTTTGCTACAGGTGGCCATGGCCACTAATCTGTCACGAACTTCTGACAGTGAACGCCAGTCGGTTCTCGGATGTGAGGACGCGCCCGTCGAATCAAGTGACGGAGATGCACCGTGTGACAGTGTGCGTTTTCCGGGCGAGTTCGTTGCGCTGTGTGCCGGTCGTGCGCGGGACTGGTACCACCCGTCGTTCCACCAGTTCTCAGTGCTGCAGCGCGCCGTGCGCGATCTCAGTGCCGCCGTCGAGGAGACTGTGCGCCGCGAGCTGCCGCCCGAGGACCGGCCGGCGCTGACCCGGCTGTAGCCGCTGGCTGACGGCGCGCTGTCGCTGCGTCCGCCGACCCTGCGCCGGTCGCGCCGGGAGGCCGAGCTGCTGACCCAGCTGCAGCAGCTGGCGGTGGCCCTGGACGGCGCCTGCCCCCTGATGGCGGGTGGCAGCTGCGGGAGCCACGTGACGCCGTCTGCGCTCTCGGCAGCGTGCCACCTGGAGCCGCATGCAGACCGCGTTGCCAGAGCTGCGTCGTCTGACGTCGGGTCTGCTGCGACTGGTGACGCGCCAGAGGACGCGCTGGTCACCGCCGCGAGCCCGGATCGAGACGGACACGGAGACAGTTCCGAACGGAGCCTCCCTCACCAGGTGGGTCCTGCGGCGCCAATACTCGTCCGTAGGTGGGGCGAGATGGATAGGTATCTGAGCACTTGGGAGGGCAGTTGTCGGGTGATGACCCACGAGGTCACGCAAAGTAAGGGGAAGTAACATGAGTACCTATGCAAGTGAAACCGCTTGATTGCGATGACCTCATGTGACCTCACCTAACTTTCGTGTGACCTCCCCGACCGTAGGACAATGCGTGATCTTGTTTTTTTTTTTTTTTTGCTCGGTTTTATTGAATGTTTTCACATGTGTAGACATCATACACTACAGTCCGGGATCTGTGCAAAAGCTTTTCAGCTTATTTGCTTATTTCATGGCACCTCTCCCTCACACACTCACGACGTCACACGTCATTCACGACGAGAAAAAAAAAACTTGTTTGACTTTGTGGGGCGTCGCCAGACTTATTATAGCTCATCTGACCTCTACTGATTCTTTGTGATCTCATATGACCTCTAGAGACTTCGCATGACCACGTGAGCTTTCCTCAACCTCCTTTTACCTCGCTGAACTTTGAGTGGCTTCTCCCACCCTCACCTGACTTCCTGTGACCTCGTAGGACCCGTCGTCTTCGTGTGACTACTTGTGACATTCGTTTGTTTTCCTGTGACCTATACCGACTTTTGTGACCTCGCCTAGCTGTAACCTCGCTCCTGTCACCTTCTGTCAGCTCCCGTAAGCTCCTTGCAGCTCCCGTAAGCTTCTTTCAGCTCCCGTAAGTTCCTTTCAGCTTTGGCAGCTCACGATAGCTCATGACAGCTGCCGTAGGCTCCTGGCAGCTCCTGTCAGCTCCCGTAAGTTGTATATCTGATCCCACCCTGACCATATTCCTGCCCTCACTTTCTTTGACCGTCCATTGTTCGTCGGTCGCCAGGAGAGCTTGACGCTGCTGCGAGCACCACAGGGCTACTAGCCTAGCGGTACGTCACGTGCTGCTGGTTTTCTAGAGACGGATGTTTGCTGATATTAGGCTGTTAAGACTGAGCCGTGATGCAGTGGCCGGTGGGAGTGCCGGCGCCGGTCGTGGTGGACCCGACGCCCAGCGCTCCGCTTCGCGCTGCTACCACACAGGTAGGGTTCGGCACACCGACTCCCGATGGCTACGTGGACAGTGAAAATATTGCAATGCTATGGTACAGGTAGAGTGACCGTTCCGTTCTTTGTCAGGTCTCTGAATGGAGCTGCGTTCCGGTGGGCGGCTGGCTGCGCTCTCTCGGTCTGGCCCAGTACGCCGACGCGTTCGTCGCCCGCTCTGTGGATGGCGCCCGGCTTCTGGGGCTCACCGAACAGGCTATGGAAGACGAGCCCGACGTCGGTGAGAGATTCACATTGCTAGCTGAGAAGGTGGATGTGACTCAAATTATTCAGTTCATAGCCTGATTTATTTAGCTTAATCTATTGGTATTAATCGTATTGCCGCCATTAACCTGACTCCTGACTCGTGATTGTGGTTGCCTCAGTTGTAGGCCTTAAGTGCACCGCATTTTGACAGGTCTCGACGTGGCGACCTCGGAGCCAGCGTGTTGGGTCTCGGCTTCCCGCCACTCACCGGCGGACCTTTCCGCTTCGTGGACCGCATCGGTCCCGCACAGCTAGTCAAGGACATGGAGCGCTTCGCCGTCGTCAATGGCGTCGGCTTCGAGCCGTGCCTGACCGTGCACTACCAGGCCGCTAGCGGCACCAAGTTCTGTTCGGCCGGGCCTCGTGTAATGCCCACATGTGATGACCGAGTGTATACGCATGTGAAGCCGCTCCGCGTGTGTACCAGCGCTGGGCGTGTTCAGTTTCAAAGTAAATATAGAACCCTGGTGATCAAGCTACAGCTTTTGACGAGAAATAGAGTGAGGTCATTTTGAAAGCGATCAGACGGTAGCGCCGCCGTTCTTTGGCACGCCTTAGCATGCATCTGTGCTACACTAAAAGTTTAGACTCGTGTCTTTCAAGGTCAGCAGGGTGAGGGCACCAGGTACTTCAAGTGGCCTCGTCTCAGGTAGAGTTCTAATACTCGTTCTAATACTACCAACACATCTAGTCAAGGAGCTGAGTTGAAATCGAGGGGATGGGGGGCTGTTCAGCCCCTTCACTGGGAGGTTCACGGTTCAGCCCCTCCCCCACCAGGCGCGAAAATCTAGGAGCCCCAGCGTGGAGTGAGATATAACCTTTTCGCAGCACGTGATCGGGCATTGCATCGAATGACACTGGGCGATTGAAAGATGTTTCAGCTCGCTTGTCAAGGCAAACATTTATTCACAACGAAAACAGACATAGGCACATGTGGATTGCTAATGGATAATGGATAATGGCAACGGGTAACACCCAGGTCGTGCACCGTTTGCTGGAGAGCCAGCGGCTAGTGCGTCCCGCGCGTGGTCGCCACGGACGCCGTTCGTCACCCAGACAGCCGGCGGACCGGCGGACCGGCCGGGACGCCTAACGACAGACAAAACCACCCCTCATGGCTATGTAGCGGGGCCGGGCTACCAGTGAGAGGTCACGGAAAGGTCAGCTCATAATGTGCACGGCGTGACATACAGTGTTAATGTCATCCCGCGGTCGCCGGACAGTGAAAAATTGGACAATGACATTTCGCCGTCAAGACGAGCTCTACTGTCTACAAGACACAAGTAGTCTACATACGCTCAGCGACGAGCGCAGGCCGCCGGAGGATCTCGACACGGTGCTGGCGCTGTGCGCGCGCCGCTTCCGCTCGTATATATTGTATTATCAGCTTTAGTATGTAGTATGCATTATCAGCATTTTTTTTATATAGTATGTATTATTATTATATAGTATGTATTATCAGCTTTTTTTCCAAAGCTTCAGAGTTGTGTCGCCCTCGCCACCACCTCCACAGGCTCCGCCCGCGCCGCTGCCGCCCCATCTACTCGAGGAGCAGCGAGCGTAGGTACGCCGCGCGACTGCTGGAGGTGATCGAGAGCGAGAAGTGCGGCATTAGCGCCTACGCGGCATTATATACCACCAGCAGACAGGATTTGATCTCTAGCAGACAAGCTTCTATCGGTGCCCCGCGCCGTCTCTCAACAATCGTCCACAGCCGCGGCTCCTGTGTACTGAGACGCTGTCACGACCGCGTCGTATCGCGACTGGAAGCCAGCCCACTGCCCGGTCTCTGCCGCGTCTCCGGCGGTTGGGACCTGTGCCGGGGGCGCCTCCTCCAACAGATTAGTGGCCATCGCCACCTGTAGCAAACCGCGGCAGCGGCGGTCGCCCAAGGGTCGCCGTGTCCACCTCCATAGAGATGTGCGCCGGCGCACTGTCGTCGCCGCCGCCGGCATCCTAAGGGAAGGAAAAATACATGTCCGGTCAGAGACTGGGGATCAACACTGGTATGTACAAAATTTGCCTATAGGATCCGCGACACCGGCACGTGAAGAGAAAGAGAGAGAAAGAGAGAGAGAGAGAGAGAGACATGGGGGTCATCTGGGACACGTCAGGTCACAGAGGTCAACTTGGAGTCATCAGAGAGGTCACATAGAGGTCACAGAGGTCATATGGGACACGCCAAGTCACAGAGGTCAACTTGGGGTCATCACAGAACTCAATTGGAGACCACGGAGGCAATCTGAGACAAGTCGGTCACAAAGGGCAACTTGGGGGCACGTCAGGTCACAGAGGTCAACTTAGGGTCATCACAGAGCTCAATTGAGGGTCATCTGGGACAGGTCAGGTCACAGAGGTCAACTTGGGGTCATCAGTGAGCTCAATTAGAGGTCATCTGGGACATATCAGGTCACAGAGGTCTGCTTGGAGTCATCAGAGCTCAATTGGAGGTCACGGAGGTCATCTGGGACACGTCAGGTCACACAGGTCAGCTTGGGGTCATCAGAGGTCACTTAGAGGTCGTGGAGGTCATATGGGACATGTCAGGTCACAGAGGTCAACTTGGGGTTATCAGAGAGCTCAATTGGAGGTCATCTGGGACACCTAAGGTCACAGAGGTCAGATTGGAGTCATCAGAGAGCTCAATTGGAGGTCACTGAGGTCATCTGGGACACATTAGGTAACAGAGGTCAACTTGGGGTTATCACAGAGCTCTGTTGGAGATCATGGGGGTCATCTGGGACATGTCAAGTCACAGAGGTCAACTTGGTTCATCACAGAGCTCGATTGAAGGTCATGGGGGTCATTTTGGACACGTCAGGTCACAGAGGTCAGCTTGGGGTCATCAGAGAGTTCACTTAGAGGTCGCAGAGGTCATATGGGACACGTCAGGTCATAGAGGTCAACTTGGGGACATCAGTGAGCTCAATTGGAGGTCATCTGGGACATATCAGGTCACATAGGTCAGCTTGGAGTCATCAGAGCTCAATTGGAGGTCACGGATGTCATCTGGGACACGTCAGGTCACACAGGTCAGCTTGGGGTCATAAGGGAGGTCACTTAGAGGTCACAGAGGTCATATGGGACATGTCAGGTCACAGAGGTCAGCTTGGGGTTATCAGAGAGCTCAATTGGAGGTCATCTGGGACATGTCAGGTCACAGAGATCAGCTTGGAGTCATCAGAGAGGTCACTTGATGTCACAGAGGTCATATGGGACACGTCAAGTCAAAGAGGTCAACTTGGGGTCATCACAGAGCTCAATTGAAGGTCATCTGGGACACGTCAGGTCACAGAGGTCAGCTTGGGGTCATCAAAGAGCCCGATTGGAGGTTACGGAGGTCATCTGGGACATGTCAAGTCACAGAGGTCAACCTGGGTCATCACAGAGCTCGATTGAAGGTCATGGGGGTCATCTTGGACACGTCAGGTCACAGAGGTTAGCTTGGGGTAATCAGAGAGATCACTTAGAGGTCGCAGAGGTCATATGGGACACGTCATGTCACACAGGTCAACTTGGGGTCATGAGGGAGGTCACTTAGAGGTCACAGAGGTCATATGGGACATGTCAGGTCACAGAGGTCAGCTTGGGGTTATCAGAGACCTCAATTGGAGGTCATATGAGACACGTCAGGTCACAGATGTCAACTTGGGGTCATCACAGAGCTCAATTGGAGACCACTGATGCAGCTGAGACACGTCAGTCACAAAGGGCAACTTGGAGGCACGTCAGGTCACAGAGGTCAACTTATGGTCATCACAGAGCTCAACTGGGGGTCTTCTGGGACATGTCAGGTCACAGAGTTCAGCTTGGGGTCATCAGAAAGATAACTTAGAGGTTACAGAGGTCATATGGGACACGTGAGGTCCCAGAGGTCAAGTTGGGGTCATCACAGAGCTCAAATGGAGGTCATCTGGGACATGCCAGGTCACAGAGGTCAGCTTAGAGTTATCAGAGCTAAACTGGAGGTCACAGAGGTCATCTGGGACACGTCAGGTCAAAAAGGTCAACTTGGGGTCATCGCAGAGCTCGTTGGAGGTCATGGGGGTCATCTGGGACACGTTTTTGGAATCGGGAGAATTTTTGGGGGGATGACCCTTGCAGCGTCCAAGACCGCCTTTCTGGATTCGCCAGTAGTTGCTGGAATGGTGTTAGGCTACTTCCAATTCCTGAATACCCCAATAAATGTGAAATAGCATATTATGGACCATTTTCAACACTCTTGCTGCCTCGCTGGCATGGATGGAGGCCTCATAAACGACCTGTCAGTTCAAGCTCTATAACTTGCATTAGCATCAATGGATTGCAACAAAATTTTCAGGATCTCAAGTTCAAACAATTTTACACGTACCACGTAAATTTCGAGGCAATGACCCGAATGACCTGTGACCTATTCGGTATACCCCAAGGCAAGGTCAACTTGCGACACTAACACTACTTACGACTGCTATTTCAATTTTGTAAGTTGTGTCACAAATCAGGCAACGTGCAATACATTAAAATTACAATAACCCACACCAAAACACACTATACCTACCAAATCAAGTTCTTCAGCACCCCTAAGGCCAGTGCACCGGCACGGGGCACGTCCAAGGTCAAATGGATTTTCGGTTTGTTATTTTCATCAAGGTTTTGATAGGTGCTCGCACGGTAGCCATGTTGGGATAGGTGAATTAAAGGTTAAATTATTTAAATATTTTAAAATAATTTAAGACCTGCCAAGCCTAACAATATGCAGAATAATAACCAAAATTAAAAATTGTATTGGGATAAAAATTTATATGTGAATCGAAAGGGTCCGCTAAAAATGACCTTGACCTTTGACCCGTCATTTCTCCGTAGTTTGACCTTGCCAAAACAAGAAAAACCAGCAGTAGCATCTCCAACATTGGTTGCATCATTGAGCAAAAAATTATTGAAATCTAAGGGGTCCTCCTTTCTCACCTGACCACGTGGTCACTTCCACTTCCTGTATTACACATACGTGACCTTGATTCTGACCTTTGACCTATTATATATCAGTTCGTGCTGCTTGCCAAAGTAAGATACTGATATTTTTGAAATCAACTCTTCATGGACTATAGTTGTACCAATTTTTACGAGAATCCAAAGGGTCCGCCGAGAATGACCTTGAACTTTGACCTAAGATTCCTCAGTTCTTAGGGGGTGCCAAGCCTAGGTGATTTATTTTCATAATAAGCATGTCCTGCTCTATCTATCCTGTTAATTTAAATCGATTCTGAGGGGTCCGTTTTTGTCATTTTTTCCACGAATGTGGTGCTGAAATCCGAATCCGAATTTGAAGCCAACTTTATGAACGTCAGAAAAGCACAAAACAAATCGACACATTCGCCTGTGCATTCGCCTACCAACGATCCCCATCGATGTCCTGCATGCTAGTGGTAGAATATGTAAAAAAAAAGTGTCAGCTGGCCTCGCCCTGGAGCTGTACTTTTGCACTGCTGGTTTGAAATATAGGGGGTAACAAAAAATATTATTCAATCAAAAGTGAAGGAAAGATATTTGTTTAAACAACATAACCGAGTTACTAATAATCTTAAGCTAAATAAATAAATAAGTTTCAGTACGCTCAACTTTGATGTCATCAAATTGCATTATAAACAATAATCAGCTGACCAGATAATTTTCGGGCATTCCTTGCGCATAAGAGACATATGTAGCTTTCATCCTAAAGTGTTTGCTTTTTTGACAATATAGAAATAAAATGACGTCATTAGACCAAAATATTTTCCTCAGCTGAATAGCAATTGGTCTAATTGAAGCTGAGAAAAGGGATTACGTCATCTTAACGCCTCTTCATTGGGTGTATCTGAATGACGTCATGAAAATACATTTGAGTGCTTATACAATTGTAGAGTACAACTTTTCTTGCTTCTCAACATTACGGTTTTGTTCGGCGGACGATGGGTGGGCGTTTTGGTTGTCTGCCTTGCGAGCATTTTTCGGATATTATTTATTTCATTTCACATTATTAAGGTCATAACCATTTCTGAAGAAAAGAGGACCTTATCTTTAGATTCCAGTGCCTTGTGTTTTGTTTCCTCATTTCAATTTACTTCTAAAAATGAAACCAGGATTTTATTCTGTTGAGTTGAATAAAACTAGATGGGAAATTCCCTTACGATACAAGGAACTCACCCCAGTTGGAACGGGTGCCTATGGACAAGTATGGTAAGTTCCTTCTTCTTCAATATTGTCTCAATTAGTGATGTCTCAGTCTGCCTAATGCAAAACTGAAGCATGACAATTTTGAAGAGGTCACGGCACTGACAATCCCATTCTGCTTTGTGCTCTGCTCTGCGGATTTACTAAATTTACCAAAATTCTTGAATACGTTATGGTATGGTATGGTATGGTGTGGTGCATGATTTGCAAGGAATGGTTTGGGCCCTCATTGGTACCATGCTGGATGGCTGTGCTGGTGCAGCAGTTAAAAAATAATCAATAGGAAATAGGATCTGAATGGGGTTCGTCGGTGAAATGGCCAAGAAGCGGCCCCAAGACATGTGAATTTATTGCAGTTTTAGTTTTGTGTTATCAAAAGTGTGTATTTATGCATTTTGTAGCAAAAGTTATAGGCATTGTTTGGTGCAGGCTGTGGCTGTAATGGTTTTTCAGTCTGGTTTGTGCATGCTGGTGTTGATTTATTGCCTGAGCAGCTTGTGTGTCTGGCTGACTCTGTTGCCATGTTGTGGAGTATGGATACCTAATCTGTCAGTTTTTAAGGACAATAATAATAATAATAATAATAATAATGCTTATTGCATAGGTAGTAACTAGGTACTGAAGTTGGTACATATAATACACAAGCAGCACACATAAATTACACATAATTGATCATTCATCACAATACAAAAAAAAAAAATGTGAAACAATAAACGGTATCCAAATTGTTTTCATTTGGATGTGGTTTCCCACCTAAATCAACAAAGTTTGGGGTGCTGTGTTAATTGCATCTTAAAACATATTGATGAGCTGGAACATGGCTGCTGCTTTGTGGATGACATTCATTTAGTACTCATCTATGAGCTGTGTGGTGCTGTCTAATATCAGCAGTGGACATGATACCAATTACCAATCAACTCATAGGCATCAGTATCCATTTAGGCTCCCTCAGCTCTGATCACCTTAGTTTGTCCCTGACCTAACTTGACCAAATATGATCTGTCCCCCACTCACCAGCAGAGCTGTGGCCCACCTGCTACCACTGACCTGGCTGTAACCCCTCCTGGCTGCATGTGTCTGACCTCTGTGACCCCTCAGTGACCCGTCCGTGACCTGTAACCCCTCAGTGACCTGACCGTGACCTCTGTGCCGCAGTGGCGCACTGGACACCCTCACCAACACCAAGGTGGCCATCAAGAAGCTGGCGCGTCCGTTCGACACGGTGGTGCACGGCAAGCGGACGTACCGTGAGCTGCGGCTGCTGCGACACATGAAACACGACAATGTACGTCCGGCACAGCGCCAGGGATCAGAGGGACGCCGAGGGAGGGTCGTGGAGTCGAGCTGGTATGGAGTAGAGGGTCTGAGACCGATTATATGGGGGATTTGGGCAGCTGGTACAGACACAGTGTGTGGTCTGTCGACTCCGCCGTCATCTTGCGCGACGTAGTTGCTTCACATCGGTCCCGTCGAATGACTCATGGTTTCGCGTGATTGCAGCCATGTATCAATCAGTCATGCACGTCTAGTCGTCTAGTATGATTTATTATGAAGCTACTTTAAAGAACGTGACCTCCTGACCTGACCAATATGTCTATAGACTATATGTTTGAACCGAGGTCCGAATTCAGAAGCAAGAATAATCGAAACTAATTGAAGAGAAGTTAGCTCTGTCTTTATCGTGGCTGTAGACTGATATCGTGCAGACTGTTCTCATGACTGGAAACTCGAAATTTACGTTTCGCATTTTGCTTGTTTCCAGGTCATCGGTCTGCTCGACTGCTTCCATCCAAACACATCGTACGAGACATTCAAGGACGTGTAAGTCAACAGTTCTGTCCGAGAACGATTACGAAACCGCGCCTTATTTCCATTTTCAGCTGATTTTCTAGCTTTGATTTTGGAACATGCGTGCTTACTGCTTGTTCGTAGAAGTTGTGCCTCGCCTGGATTTCGCTCCCGCTAGCACTCAGTTCATTATATGACCTCACGCCCCGAGTTTTGTATCATGTGACCGTCTTCTGCGGTAGGTACTTTGTCACCGACCTGATGGGCGCCGACCTGAACAACATCCTCAAGACGCAGTCACTCACCGACGAGCACGTGCAGTTCCTGGTGTACCAGATCCTGCGCGGGCTCAAGTACATCCACTCGGCGGGGATCATCCACCGGGTAGGTGTCCGCCACCGAACGAATAGCTGGCAGTGCTGGCAGCTATCCAGTCTGGCACTGGGGTGGTTGGGATACTTAGGTGTTAGCTCGGGCATAGACCACTATATATCTGGACTGTGCACGGATTTTGCCGACTGCTATTAGGGCCCTGCTGGGAAATTCGACGTAGCACGCGGAATTGTGTATTGACGCTCTAGTAAGCCCATTTAAATGAAAGTAACTTCTTAAATGTGATGTATATTTTAATAAATGTATAATTTATAGCATGATTTTTAACACGATAAATAAATAAAAGCACTTATAGACAGGTATATCACACTGTATTAAGTTCAAAGCATCAATAGACAGGAACAATCCGTGATCGGTCGTTTTTGACAAGAGACAGTCTGATGACATATTGGACACACTGCAGATTAATTTGCCTGTCTAAATCAGACACGCACCCGGCTCAATGCTTTGAAAGCCCACACGATCTGCGCCACGGAATTACGAAGATTCCTATGGGTAAATAACAAAGCTGCCGGTGCTGCGTTTTTAGCGAGACCGTCCGAGGTGACCTGCTGGGCCACAACTGTTCCCTGCTTCCACTGAGGCCGATTTCATGCTCAGCATAGGGACAGACGGGTTCTGTCATCTGTCCCTCTCGAGAGAAGGGGACTTTTGAACACCGTTGTCAGTGACGGTGGCCGCATTTTGCAGCGGGTGATGGCGATCGAGATTCGAGATTTAGACGGAGTCACGAGATCTCGGTTCACTGGACACTGCAGCAGAGCTTCGCACTTAGGAATGCACTTTCTTATAGTTCTTGTGCTACATTTGCCTTTAGTTACTATTCGAATTGTAAATCCACATCTGAAATTCTCAGCCATGTAGGTATCTTACACATCGACGAATAGCATTGTAGTTATTGATTGCATAGACAAACTGATCCCAGGAATGTTGCATTGTGTTTACGTCCTGCGGCTCAACCTTTCTCATTTTCATGAAGCTTTCTTATTTCATGAAGCTCTGTTCGCGCATCGCTGGTGTTGAGTGACGGTATACTGTCCATATTGACTCCATGAATTGCAATGTTTGTTTTTCGCTCAACTATACACATCAATGTGTTGAAGGAATGCAGGTCGTAGCGTTGTAACTTGAGGTGCTTCTCGACAGTGTGACTCCCTCAGCGAGCAATGTGAAGAAAGTTATCGTTTTCCTTTACAATGGTAGTCGCGCTGTCTTGAAACAAACGTTTGAAGCTATACGTGTGCCGAAGAGAGAGCGACTCGGCAGCTGTTACCAGAGCAGGACCCATTGCTTGCATGCAGGAGCGGAACACAGATTGCTGATGTGGGCACGCCAGCTCTCCGCAAGCCATAACATATGTGACCATCACTTGACCAAATTGCAAGACTTTAGCTAGTTTTGGGCTTCACTTGTGACTGATATTATAGGAGCCGCCAGTCTGGAAACGGATCCGCCACCTCTCCTTACAGTTGTCTTCTGCTCAATTTTCGGTCTCGGCCAGCGTCACAGCATGTAATAAAACTCACAGGGAGCCCAGTGGTCAGAATTCCAAGACATTTTCAGCTTTAGGGCATATAGAAATTGACTTCATATTGATGCCTTAGCCAGGAACCGGAAAACTGACATTGTTGCATGCACTGTCTTGGCTCTTTGAATATGCTCACTCCCCGTTCTGTTCATAGGATATTCTGAAGTGATTATCACTAGCGGCACATTTTACTGTATTTCAGTGGCATGTATGCATTAAAAGGTTTCATTTTATTTAAAGACAAAAGAGAACTATCCCGCATGTCAATGATAAACAACAAACAACAATAATCTTGCAAAAATCTTCGCTACATGTCTGTGAAAATTTGCTAATTCTCGTGAAAATTAGCTGGGAACCATCATCCACACCATGTTAAATCATGGAAGAAATGGGCAGAAAATGTCCTTCTTTTTTCGATGATTGCGCTAATATTATATATTTTTTGCTCAATGTAAGATATAACTCAGATTACAAATTGACTAGTGGTGATGTTTCCCAAAGCACATCATCATATGGCGAATAAGTTGGCTGTGACGACCTTCGAAAGTTAGGGCCCTAATGGCAGGGCCCTAATTTCCGTGCACAGTCCAGATATATAGTGGTCTATGGCTCGGGATATGGTATATGCGGAACTGGGATAGGACAGGTGCCAGTCTGGGATAGGACAGGATAGCTGTCAGTCCGATATAGAATAGGTGGCAGTCCGAGATAGTTATGCATGTAGGTGTCAGTCCGGAATTGGCTGACTGCCGGCCCTGTATCCGGTATGGTTCGGGTCAGATATCTGACTTTGTGCACTACACATTAGAGACAATTTCTGAAGTGTTTTGTCGGTAGGTGCCAGGTGGCGATATCACTTTTACTATATGAAGACTTAATAATATGATGTTGTTAAATCTTTGGGTGGCGATATTACTATTACGATGTTGTTCAGTTGTTATCAGGTCATAGCACCGTAACGACATGACTAGCGACGAATAGTAACACTGTTATGATGTTCAGTCAGACCGTAGTGGCGATATCATTCACTGGGTATTTTCGGCAGGTATCGGCCGCGAGACACGTCCTTCTTACTTAGGTGTTTGAAAACGGCTGAGCGCTCGGTTATCACGTGGATGATAAACAGGGGCGTACAGTTCGAAATTACGGTCTTAACCCTCGCCGGCACAGGCCATTTTGAGTCCTTCGACGGTGACCCCTTGTGCCGTCTTAACCCCTGTGCCTTGTGGTACGACCTTGTCGTACCACAAGGTTGGTACGACTCCCCTCGCGTTTGGCCCCTGATGGAGCTAGAGCTTAGCGGAAAAAAACGAGCGTGTTGCCCGTCACGAGAGGAAGCCAATGATACCCAGTTTTAAGGTCCTAGGTCATCGGTTGACCTTCCAGGTCAGGTCAATGACCCAAAAATCGGGAATATCGGGACCTGTTAGAAAGTCGTAAAGTGTGGCTGCTAAGGGGTTTTCCGGGGTGCTGATCACGAATATCGTGTTAGTTTTGATCACAGATGATGTCGTTAAGCGTTTAGACCAGGTGGGGTCAGGTCTGGTCAACCGGTAGGGGTCGTGACAGGTATTAGTAGTATCTGGCATCCGCCTCTGACAGCTTCGTAACATGTTACGAAGGCACCAAAACTACTTCGTAAATGTTAAATGGTTTCTAAATTCGAATTCAGCTCCAAAAACTAGCCTAGAAACATATAAAACTCGAAAAAGTCAGGTTACCAAAGGTCAATGACCTGACCTGACCTTCAGGTGACCTTGACGCCCACCCTAATGCATGGGAGCAACTTCAAATCACATGTTTGAACGTTTGAAACCACGAAAAGCTTGCAAACGCGCGGCTAATGCGAGCCGACATACGCCGAATCGCGATTCCGGCCAAACATGGTCTCGGAAAAGAGGTCACAGGTCAAAGGTCATTTGGGTCAGGGTCATGAAATTTTGAGGGTAGGTGTAAAATTGATCAATGCGAGGGTACTGAAAGTTTCGTCGCGATCGGCCGCATTTTACGCGAGTTATTCGCGAAAAACCTTAGGGGGGATGCATCAACCCCCTGTGCCGGCGAGGGTTAACTTTGAGGCTTGTGCTTGCATAAAAATGAATATTGTTTCACGTTCTGAGATGTCATGTACCTAACTAGTAAATAACACATTACATTTATCAATGCTCAATTTGCTTCAGGGATACACCAACACATTGACGTAGGAAATCTATCATTCTATGGATTTGGGAATCCAGTACGTCACACATCGTTCCGAGAAGTTCCCGTATAGATGTTCCGAGATAGCTGAAATAGTGACGCAGATATGGTAACACGTACAATCTCTTTATACAGACCCTACGTGCTCAGCCATTCGGTTATGGTGAGGAGATACGGCGTTTAGGCGATAAGGTGTTACACGGTCACAGACACGGTTAAACGCTGCCTGGCCACTCTTATCTAAGATCTAGGACCCGTTTATGGAGCCACGGCGTACCGGATTCCTCGCATAATCAGCGGTCGCGTGGGAAACTCCGGCGGATAGGCACCTAATCCCGCATTACTGACCGCAACATAGAACAGGGTATACGTGAACAGGGGGATCAAATACATTTAGAGCAGGGCATACGTGCTCTGCGGGATAGGTAAACTTTGGCTAGGGCCGGACCGTACTCTGAGCAGGAACTTTATATTCACTCTGGCCAGCCGATACCGCCGGCATGCCGCCGTCAACTGGGGCCTCACTCACATCAACATCCGCCCTACCGCGTGTGTTCAGGACCTGAAACCGAGTAACCTGGCAGTAAACGAGGACTGCGAGCTCAAGATCCTGGACTTTGGCCTGGCGCGGCCCACCGAGCACGAGATGACCGGCTACGTGGCGACTCGCTGGTACCGCGCGCCCGAGATTATGCTCAACTGGATGCACTACAACCAGACCGGTCAGTCAGGCCGCCGCCGACAATGGGTGGGCGGAGGGGAGGGGGACGTACTGGGGAGGGGGACTGGCTGAGCGCAGTAAAGCGCGCTTTACTAGTCCGTTCATAATTCAACTTCCGCGTATACGCCATGTGTGCTTGCGTCTTGTCTTGTTTTATTGCATTATTAGTAACTAAGAATTGTTCGGTGGTTTGCTGATTACTTTAGTCTATGTCATTCTCGTATTACCTATCGTTATGCGGTTTACGTCAGGCCGCATGAAAAATATTTCAGAATGTTTCTGTCAGTCCTGTTTTACCATATGCTAGTTCTCGTGTTGCTCGTAGTGCATTGTTTCGCCATTATGTAACATGTCTACCATCATGTGTTCCCTGCACCGACTCCGTCTCACGGGGAGCCCTCACCGTGTGTGGCCGTGCTCTGTGTTTTCAGTGGACATCTGGTCGGTGGGCTGTATCATGGCAGAGCTGCTCACCAGGAAGACCCTGTTCCCGGGCACGGACCGTATCCTTTGAGCGCGCGCTGCCGGGTGGCCGGCGGGTCAGGGTCAGGGGCAGGGCGGAGGGTCAGGGCTGGTGTGTGTGTCCGTGTAACGGGGTGTGTCAGTGTGACCCGGCAGGTGGCGCTGTCGGCTGTCCTGTCCCAGTTCCCGGCATGTCGTGATCCGGTGGGCGGTGATGGACGCTCCTCTGTGTCGGACCTCCCCCCTCTCGGCACGGGTAGTCTAGTGGATACGCCCCCCCCCCCCCCCCCCGAGTCGGACCGGTGTTCCCCGTCATGCATGGCCTCTGTTAGCTGGCATGGTACATGGCTCACTTAGGGGAGCACGGGTGGAGAGCGTGTCTCCGGTACCTGTACACTGTACATTGAGTTGCACTTGAATATGGCTGCCTTGAATATTTGATGTAGAATTGGTGAGGAATTGTTTGATGCTGTAAATATTTAAGGTTTACGTTAAAGTATTAGAACCATTATAAAACATCAAATTGGAATAAGTATGAAAATTGATCGGCGAATGGGCAAGAGAGACAAATTTGAGTCTCGCCATGGTTGCCGATGTTTCTTGAACCAGCATAATCTTGGTGTGGCAGCCAAGTTCATAGTAAACACGTTTGGCAAATCCCATTTACGTGCATATTCATTTTGTTTGTTTCATGACGGACAGCATCCTAACAGAAAGCTGATTTTCGAACATAAGTCGACAAATAAACTGCTTTTTGGACGGTTGGGCCAAATCACCTCGTAATGTGGATAAATAAGTCACCGTTTCTCCGGGACCACTTCTTTGTGTTTGTAAAACATTTTCCATTCTGGTGGATTTATGGCACCGCTAACAATGCCACTCGTGAATATCCTTAATTGAGCACAGATATCCACCAACTAAACATAATCATCGAGCTCCAGGGCTCACCTAGCGACGATTTCCTGAAGAAAATCTCCAGCGAGTCTGTAAGTAGCGCGGCGCACGCTAGTGGGGCACGGAGCACCGCACGAGCACGGGCAGAGAGGCACGGAATGGTGTGGTTTGGTGTGTACTGTGTAACTACACGACGCCGGGCAGTGTGGAGACTGGTGTGCAGCCTGTTACCATGTGTGTGTGTGTGTGGGGGGGGGGAAAGACTGTTAGATGTGAGGACACCGGTGGTTTTCGTGTGCCGTGTGTGCTGTGTGGTCTGAAGCTGCTGGGGTCTGTCCCGGTGGTACACCGGCCGTGTGCTGGCGGTAGTGCTGCTAGTATGTGTAGTGGTAGTAAGTAGTGTGTGCACCGGTAGTGCCTGACGCGCGAGCCTCCCCCTCTCGTCAGTGGAGTGTGACCGTGAAGCACGCCGCCGCCTCACTGAGTGTGTCGGTGGAGCCGCGGGGGCGGTCCGAGCTGCTCGTACATGACTAACCCCTAATACCGGGGCAGTGAGGGGACTACCAGTCACAGCCGAGTGGCACATGACTAACCACGCAGCTGCTAATTAATACTAGCGACCTTAACGCCGTCCAACAGATATCGATCAGCTCACCAGAATCCTTTTCTTTTGCGGAACTCCGGAAGAGTCTACGCTGGAAAAGATTACCAGTGACGAGGTAGGACTAACCGTGCTATGCACAGTGCGCAGCTGTCGGGCTGATGTAGCATTCCCCCCGGTTTGTGTAGTAAATATCCTCCCGTTTATGTAGCAAGCGGCCCCAGGACGCCCGCCAGCCGCCGCCCAACAGCAGCCGCCTGTGAATAGTTGCCGAGCTGCTAACTTTTCGAGCCTGGTCGCCTTGGCTGCATTGCATGAATTGGCAACGGCTGAGGTGAACTCGTGATGTGAACATGCAATGTGTGCTTCACTAGTCGGGGTGGTTGGTCATTTGCAACTTTTACTATCCCAAAATGCTGTTGTGTCTTACATTTGACCGCTTGAGCACGATTTAGTTATGGCCATTTTTTATTCAAAGTTGCATTCATGCCACATGTAAATCGGCTGAAACATGGCTCCGACTCAACGTTATCAATATGTTGTAGACCATTGATTCTGCACGTCACAGGGTTACTTGTCTGTTGTGTACTCAGTTTGAACTCGAAGGATAAAAACTAATTTATAAATTACATGCGAATGTTTGTTGTCCAGTTCCCTTTCACGCATATGCATCACTATTTGGCCGTTTCTCAACTATACTGTATATTCTGGTTTATCGCGTTTGTCATACGTTCGCCTGGGGAAGTGGGGAGAAGTGGGATAACTGCTTCGGTGGGCTGAGTTTGCGGCTGTGTCTACTGTCTGCAACGTAGAGGTGGGCTGTATAGACGCAAAATAACCACTAACCGCCATAGTTACACTGCCCGAAACAAACAGTAGACAGACAAATAACTGACCTTATTGGTGTTGTGTTAGACCAATCGAACCCAAGGTGTAGTTTTGATAGAGGAACGTGTGCAAAGTTTTCCATTTCTTAGTGTGCAGTGTGCACCTTATTGATGTGTTGAAAATTAATACTTCTGAGATCAGAAAAAAACTCCAAATGATTTTAATTGTCACCTCTGAACCCACCAATGGTGTATATTGTCGCAAACAATATTGAACAAGGTTATGTGCCTCACTGAACCCGTCTGAAAGTTTTTGTTTGCCTCATGAATGTTTGTCACGACTTCGTGTGCGATTTTTTTAACATTGATGTGACGTCTCTATCCTTTTGATTTCGCCAGCGCTGTACCTGTGCCCTTCAGTCGAATGTGTTCGTTGTCTGAGTTTCCGTGCCCACGTGCCTCAGAGCGCTGAGTGTATCGAGCCGTTCGTCCTGATCTGACCGCACGCCTCGCTCCCAGGCTCGCGCCTACATCCGCTCCCTGCCGCCGATGAAGGCAAAGGACTTCAAGCAGTTCTTCCGCGGGGCGAACCCCCTGGGTGAGTTGCACTGTCGCTTGCATGATTCAGTTCATACGGTGCTCGCTCGGTGGTTTGTCGGTCTTCTTTCTGTGAATAATCGTGCTGCGAACGTCCTTTTCCCATGTCCTGGTAGCATGCGGTTTTTGGTCTTTTACGTCTTGCGGAATCTTTTATTGTATGGTATTATTAGTCACAGTGCTCACCAAGGCTGTCTTTACTCAGTCTTTACTCAGCTGTACTCCGTTTTTTTCCGTTGGCGCATTGCGCTCCGTCTGTTGTAGCTTTGCGCTCCTCTGGCTAATTCCTCTGCTCCGCCGCTAGCAGTATTCCGCCAGCACCACTCCTTTGTAGTGCGACCGAGAACTCGGTGCTAACCTCCCATTGTGACCACCGCCGCCTCCTGCCGGCCCGCCCTCAGCGATCGACCTGTTGGAGAAGATGCTGCAGCTGGACGCCGACCTGCGGCCGACGGCCGAGGAGGCGCTGGCACACCCGTACCTGTCTCAATACTCGGACCCTTCCGACGAGCCCACGTCGCCGCTCTTCGATGAGGGCTTCGAGATGGTGCAGCTGCCCACCGAGCACTGGCGCCGTGAGTAGAACAAGCAGGCCGGGGCAGAGTCTGGAAATGATGGGGCCACAGGCAGTTTCTGGCTGGGGGAGCCAGTTTTGGTGTTTTATATTTTTTATACTTTTTGTGTGAGATATGCTCATCCGTTCTCTATGTTGTGTTGATTTTTGCTGATGTGATGTCATTCGGCCTCAATGGTACCGCAAAAGACAGGCCGCTTGTTGATACACCATGTGTCTGTGCGTCAAAGGATTTCAAATGCCACGGCAAAAGCTGCTCAGAAACATTGATCGTTACACATACTCTGTGTCGCGGCTATTTTATATGTCCTTTTGTCTCTGACTGACTGTCGTTCTCCTCCCCCGTCGTTTTTGAAGAACTGGTGTATGATGAGATTGAGGACTGGGGGAAGAAGCAACAGGCGGCCAAGTGAGCCGCGGCTGGGCCGGCTGATCGCGTCTGAGGAGGCCGCTGCCGCCAGGGGAGGGCCGACAGCCCGCCGGCTGCCGTGAGGGGACTGTCAGCTCACCGACTGCCGTCACCCTGCGCGCCGTTCGGCGGCGGACAGTAATTGAGCGGGGCGGTGTCCGGCTCTCCGGAGCCCAGCCGCTGCCGCCACGTGCCATTGGTGCTCATCTAGCCGACTGGGCCGGTTTTCTGTGAGCGGCGCTGCCCGCCGCGCCGCGATACCGAGATGTGGAGAGTGCCGGAGAGTCCCCGCGGCGCCGGCCACCGCGGCCCGCCCGGACAGTGATAGCGGTAAGGTGGGGAGTGTGGCTCCCAGCGCGTGCTGAGACCGGTGCTCCGACTGTGAGAGACGTGCCTGCTAGTGTGTGTGTTCGGGGCGCGTCTGTGCCCGGCGCCGATAACTGGACGGTGACGCCGGTTCTCGACAGGCTAGTTCGGACTGCTCGCGGGCCGTGCAGGTGGCGTTACCGTCTCTGCGAAAGGGCGTAGATGATGATGTGCCCGTCTGCTCCGCCGCCCCCGACTACCCAGCCCCGCCAGTTACCGATAACCAGCCCCTGGTGCCAATCAACGAGGCACGCGCGCTATTGCCACCTAATCCTTCCGCCACGGATCCTACCGCCTCGATATTTTCGGCTTTTACTTTACTGTGGCCGATTTTCTTCTTGACCTTGCTTTGTAATGTACTGGCAGAATGCGGCCTTTGCCCGACTCCAGAATGCCCCTTTTAGGAATCTGCTTATTGCATATATCAATTGTTGGTTGAATTGTTGATTTATTTGTATATATTTACTAATAATTATTTTTGAACGACTGTAATTTGGGCGGCTTTGCCCTGCTGCAATGCGTGTTTTTCAGCACCCGAAATTGTAGCCTGCCTTTGGACAGCAGTGTATATCACTGGCACGTCGTGAGTCGGTGCGTCACTCGTGATGAAATAAATACGCACATTTGTAACTTAGGTCTCTCGCTTGAGTTTGGTACACATGGGCAGCCGAGCAGACCTACAGAAGAAAGTCGATGGGCAAAGAAGTCTAGGTCTAAGGTCGGAACAGAAGTAACGATTAGATACTAGGCTAATCGACACTGGCGAGGCAACTGTTCAGTCGCGACTTGCATATGGTTCAGGCCTGGAGAGAGAACGCCGTGTCCGTCTCCGAAATTCCTCCGACTGCCGCAGCTCTAGAAACGGTTATGTTCTCACCTCCGCGCTAATTCATTCTCACAGACGTCCGTATTAAACACACTGTGTATTATATTGGTGAAATGATCGGACTTGCCGGCTGGTTATGCGAGACGCGAAACGGAGGACACCAGGCAGCTTCGACACGTGACTGGGGCGCGATGCTCCACTGAGCCGTCGCTGCCGGACGCCTATATGGGCTTGATCTTGAAGTGGAGGCCGATGAGCGAGAAGACCAGACACTTGAGATCCTGGACCAGGTAGTAGAAGCACCGGAGCCCGTCAGTGTCCCTGGAACACGGCCGGGTGTCACGGCTCGGAGCGGCGGCTACGACACGACACGGCTTTATCCGCGCCCCATGATTCGAAAAAAATCACACTGGCAGAATGGCCACGTATTGTCTCTTTAGTCATCAATTATGCAGATACACAGGAAAATATTTTGGTATGTGCATCAGCTTCGCGTTTTATAACATCGAAAACGATTGTCAAAATAGTAGATTGACGAAACAGTTCAAACGTGCAACATGATACTGCAACACACCCATGACTCACTTTGAGTTGTTGACATCGACCAGTGAGCCGATTTTGGAGGTGGTGAAGGAGATGTGTTCGTCGCCGATGACGATCTCCAGCTCCTGGCGTCCCACCCTGTCAGGCTGCGGCCACAGCGCGTCGTCCTCCTGATGAATATACGGGGACGTCGTCAAATACAGTCGGGGACGTCGGCCAGTAACAATCGGTTAAAATCCTGGGACATAATCTCACAAAATCGCCTGGGGGTGTTCCAGCCAGACAGGCAAGTTGAAGCTACAAATCATAGGTCTCATGAATGGGCTCAAAATGACCCCGGCAGTCGGCGCGCCCTAAAGCTCCAATAAACAACAACAGCATAGGTCTTATGCATTGCCAAACTTGGTAAATAGTGTGTGAAGTACAAAGGTTTACTGAAATGATACAGCTCTGAGCCCACATACACCAGTATAACGCCTTTTGGGGCGACTAACGGAGCGAGCGAGAGGGTGGGCCTTGCACGTGCGAAATTGCGAGGGGGTACCTCCAACTGACTTGTGCGCGGCACCCTACTAACTGGTCTCTAGCGATGTGCCAAATTTGGGCACAATCGGCCCAGCCGTTCTCGAGATCTGGAAGCGGCACCCTGCACGTGCGCACGTGCAAAATGGGTCCCAACTGACTTATGCACGGCACCCTACTAACCGGTCCCTAACCGTGTACCAAATTTGAGCGCAATTGGTCCAGCCGTTCCCGAGATCTGGAAACGACCCCTGCACGTGCGCACGTGCAGCAGCACCCCAACTCTGGCACATGTATATGCAGTGCCTAGTGGGTGCCTACCTACATGCCAACTTTCAGCGCAATCGGCCAAGTAGTTACCGAGATATTGCAACAATTACAAAACTGACACCTCTTCGTTTTGCACGTGGCACGTGCATAAGGGGTCACCCACATGCATCGGGAATAGTCCAATACTTGGTAGAAGGAATGAAGCTACCCTACAAAAATTACCGCGTGTAAATCGGTCAAGTGGTTGCTGAGATATAAGCCTCGCAAAAGCGTGACCACGGCCGGCCGGCCGGCCGCTCATACTCAGAAATTTCCGTTAATCTAAGGAAAGACTGCGCTCGCTTCGCTCGCTCCGTAAAAACAAACCAGACATGTCTCCCAATGCTTTTAAACTTACAAAATACAAACCTAGGTACCGTAAAACGGGGTGTTAAGGGACAGTTTTGAGGTGTTTTGTTATATAACTCAAGAAGAGTTGGAGATAGAAGCATCAAATTGTCAGCATTTTATGTGGAATTTGGTGCTTTACATGCCTGCCACATTAAAGTTCTTAAGATTTATACCTGCATATTATTTTTTATTATTTTTCATCACTGTCCCTTAGCACCCCAATGTGGGGTGTTAAGGGACACCTATATTATTCCAAGAAATGGTCATCAAATGCCCACAATTGGGGTGTGGAAGGGCACACAATTTATTTATTGAAATGTTTTGCATATTCTGTCACAAAACAAGTCAGGTTCATTCAACACTAATGACCTTTTTAGCCAATTATGTGTAATGCAGTTTACGCTTGTGGAAAATGTGCTAATTATAAGGTAAACAGAACCAAAAAGTACCCTTCTGTCATCAATAAAAACCCATGTTGAAGCTAGTCACTTGTCATTATGTTGGCCTCTCTGTTTTAGCCTTTTTATGATGACATCACATTTACCTACATCAGTCTCCATTGACCCATCATTGTAAAAGAGAGTGTTGAGATGTTTTGTTACATAACTTAAGATGTGTTAGAGATAAATGCATGAACTTGCCAGCATTTTATGTGGAATTTGGTGTTTTCCATGCCTACTGAAAGAAAACTTAATGAAATTATATTTAGATATTATTTTTATTTTTTTCTTCCCTGTCCCTAAGCCCCCCATATCCACCTCAAAATATGCATGCATCCGGAAAAGAGGAAGAGGATGATGAATGAATGGGTGGATTTGCACAAGTTTTTCAGGAAATATGTGCAATACATGTGACAATACACCTATGCATTCATTTTCCCTGTACACCCACTAGTTTATGTGGTACACACAGAGTTTTGGAGATGTTTCAATTTTGTGAAAATGTAGCATGTTTTTCAAATCCATTTTTGAACCAAATCACTTGCATGAAAAACCATACCATTGTATCCTATGGTCAAGAGCAAAACAGTGTCGACTACCACACTGAAGTTTTTCTTGAACCTTCTCAAATTAGGAAGTTAATATGACTCAAAGTTTTTCCCATGCAACTGTCCCTTAGCACCCCACTGTCCCTTAACACCCCATTTTACGGTACTAATTCAAAGGTTTACAAGTTGGAAACCTAGTCCTTTACCTTAGATAAATTCAACCATGATGGTGCAAAAATAATTTGGAGCAACTGAAAGTAGTATCAGTAGCATCAGTAGGTATCTACCTACCTAAAAATTCAATAGAACATAAAAGCAATAAGTAACTAATGTGTCCATTGGAAATGAACAATACACACCTGCATGATTTCTGAATCAGCAATGATCCTCTTCAGCTCTTCCATGACACATTTGTGAACATATGCCTCCTTTCGAATCATGGTGTCATTCTTGTAGTTTGAGTTGTTTGCATAGCGCAGCTTACCTGAGAGCAAGATGCAGCATTAAACTCAGATACATTTAGTTCTTGCATTCCTATCATGATACTCAAGGCTATTAAGCTCCATGCATGTGAACTGAACATGGGTAAATGTTCATATTTAATTTAAAAGCCAGATGGAGATGTGTATCAGTATTGCAAGGGTATCAGTTACATTGACATCAACATGATTGTGATTACACCTCACTCAGTGAAAGTACGAAATAACCTGAAATGGTATTACGGCTAATGTCTCTGGGGTAATCAGAATCTGTTACCAGGCTCAAAGTTGAAATAGGAAAAGGTACATCACAAAATAAAACCAGGTTGCAGACTCATAGCAAAACACGATGTACCAGACATTAAAATTGGAAATAATTACCGTCAGGGCGAAATTCGAACTCCAGAAATTCATGTCCAAATTTTCCTTTATGGCCAACGTAATACCGGAGATAAAAGTCTTTATTGCTCATTTTGCAAAATGCTTATAACTGCTCAAGGGACGAGCTCATAAATATAAAAGAATTCACAATAGAACCAAGGCTCCAATAGAATAGAACGGACATGCCTAAGAGCTGGACTTTTTGCACGCGTTCCCCGCCAGGGGGCGCCACTGAGGAAGCACCCTATGACGTCACGATAAAACTGCGCGCACTGTGCGCACGGTTCTGTAAGCAAGTAATATAGTGGTGGTTTCATGGTGGAGATTGGAATAAGTATTTCGACGCTGTAAAATTTCAAGCCGTTTTTGTGAAATTAATTAGTAAATGCATTTCAAAAGTATTTATTTTAAGTGTGAAAGAAGAATAATTAGAAGAACATGCATATTTTTGTTCCAATAGCTTATTATGTGAGACCTGATCGGTACTAACGGGTACTTCTAAGAAATAGTGAAGAAGTACCAAACAGCCTGCTCGGCTACGATCGTCAGCTGTCCTTTGGAGCTGGACTTCAACGCTGTAAAAAAAATGTGTGCTGAATTAATTTTTAGTTTAACCAAAATATGAGCATTTTATCATTTCCTTTTCACTTTTGTAATTATTGTTGAGTGAAGAGACATGTTGCTGGTTCTGACAATATAAATTATTAATTAAAAAAACCGAAATGCGACGGTAAGTATCTGCTACTAAATTATCACTAAAACCAAATACATGGAGAATCTTTCTACCATTGCTTATAAAACGTGCTTATCAATGCACAAATGTTTTATTTCAGACAAAAAGGATTTATTTGCCTGAAGTCATGCGTCATGTGCTACTGCTTTGATTCCAAAGACGCTCTCCGGGTCGGGGTAATTTAACTTGCTTCATCGATCGATAAGAGATTTTGATTCCATTGATATCCAAATTGATAAGCTCGGCACCATGGAGTAAGGGCGTCCCCACAGGGGTGACGCAGGAAATATGAATGGCGTTTACACCGACAGTAGTTTCCCACAGCCGGCAATGGGAATCTCCTGTCGGTGTAAACGCTACTATAGTCCCATCCAACTCAAACACTGGGGAATATCCCCGCACTTTTGAGGACAGAAATCTATGGACCAGTGGATAAAATGCGGCGAGCTTTCAGTTTTATGGTTGGGTCTCCCTTCCGAGGCACATATTTACGGGGGATATTGGGTCATATTCCCCCGGCGTCCTGATGATCGGCGCCCAGCTCAACGTCGAAGGCGCCCTGATACACGGCACTGCTATCTGTGAAGGTGCCCAGGTTGCTGCCGCTCGAATTTTGGTCGCCTACTTAACAAAACCTCCGTTGGTGCCATCTCAGTTTCCTCGAGGTCAGGCAACCTTCACACGCCGTTGGCTACCTTGGCTGGCCGGCGACTCGTTCCCCTCGTGGCGACGCTCTTGACATCCAGTCAAAAGTTGGAGTGGCTGGCGCCCCCAGTGGGGGCCGGGGAAGGGGCAGTGGGCCTCCACGTTGCTCTCTTCCCGAGCCCATGGTGACTTGGCTCAACTCTCCTCAATAGAATCTGGATTCTGCACGCTGTATGAACATGGGCGTATTGTATTGTATTGTATTGTATTGAACAATCATGAGCGATCCACATTCTGAAAGTGCGTGGCGATTACTGCTCAGACACCACTACGGACAATACGGACAGTGGGTGTGACAATCAGTAGTGCCATTCATATAGAGGGTGTCATATATGAGCGGAGAGGCAACAGTACAGCTGAGCGGAGAGACAACATTAAAACAACAGTACAGCTGGTGTTGCATGGAGCTGCAGGGAACCGGACAGCGGAGGTTGCGAAAAATAAACAATTCGTCACTTCAACGTACAAACAATAGTAAAAGCAACATAAACACATATTCTCATGGTCGAACCCATGCACTAGCGGCTCACGGCGGGCACAGGCACGCAGTGCGGTAGCGGTACCGGATCACACGTCATGGGCGTTGTCTCAGCATAGGTTGTTATGAGCGGAGAGGCAACAGCACAGCTGAGCGGAGAGACAACATTAAAACAACAGTACAGCTGGCGTTGCATGGAGCTGCAGGCAACCGGACAGCGGAGGCTTGCGAAAAATAAATAATTCGTCACTTCAACCTATAAACAATAGTAAAAGCAACATAAACACATATTCTCATGGTCGAACCCATGCACTAGCGGCTCACGGCGGGCACAGGCACGCAGTGCGGTAGCGGTACCGGATCACACGTCATGGGCGTTGTCTCAGCATAGGTTGTTCGCAATCTAGTTGAAGCCTAAGAAGACGGCCAGTGGGGTCTCACTGCTGCTGAGGCGACCTCGGAGACGATGCGTCGCTCCTCCTGTCGGCGACCTGCGGTGAGCAGGACTCCAGATAGCTGGCTGGCACGTTGCCGACACTGCCAGACGCTGTCAGCAGGCCTCACTGCTGCAAGTGATGTGCAGATGGACGCCAGGTGACTTCGTCTGCAGGCGATTCCGGAGACCGCGGCCTCACCAGGCAGCACCACCTGCATCGCCATGTCGGTGTTTCTAGAAATGGAAAAATAACAGTATCGGTGAAGGACAAGCAATACAATGTATTCTGTTTTCCTCTCTTGCAGGTATACGTAATCTACAATTATCATTGTTCCTATTTCATTCAACTGAACCTGAAAATTCCATATTGGCACATTGTTTGACTAAATTTGTGTAGTTGGGAACAGGGGCGACACCACGGTGCGACGACTGGAGGGGACATTGACCATTTTGGAGGGGACGAGGACCATTTCAAGTCGATTCTTTCCATGCAACGCCATAGGCGTAATGTTAAAATTTTAAAAAGTGGAGGGGACGAGATCCCCTCCGTCCCCCCCCCCTGTGGTGACGCCCTTGGTTGGGAAGCAGATTCTGATTGTTTGAAATACATGTTTGGCTGAACAGTGCTGAAAATAGTTCATTGATCACTATAGCTGCAACAAAAATGCTGAGACAGAAAACATTTGTGCTTACCTGGCTCCTTAGTCAGTCCCGCACAACGGAAGTGGTACCATTTATCGCAGCCGTCGCATCCGACCATCGGCGCTGCACTGATGCTGCTGCACTCCCCACATTCCCAGTACCTTAGGAGCGTCTTGGCTGTGAAAAGATTACATGAGTCATGGCGCATACATGAATAGTAAGATGTTTTATAAGTTTAACATCGCATAGCAAAGACACAACAGCTGGGAGTCAAATGTAAGCCAAAGTGTAAGCCCTGCCATGTTTTGCAGACTGGATTTTAAGCAAGAAAAGCTTTGCTAAAAATGCTTGACGAAGCCTCATCCTGCTGGGCTGTCTGACATGTCTCCCTGTGAAAAGCATGTGGCCCTTATATTGTATATATGATGAATATGTTAATAATACAGAGAAAACACAGTATAAAATAAATTATACCCAACGTTTCATCTTAATCGACTTTGTCAAGGGTGTTTGAACAGCTTGAGATGAGTGAAGTGTAAGGGTACCTAGGTAAATCTGAAAATAAACTGAATCTGCGTTCAATAAACATTGATTTTGATAATTCATTTCACAAATCAACTGCTAATAACAATCATAGGTACTAAAATAGCACGACAGATAACTAACAATCGCATGAAGAACTTCTTGATTCGCCTTGACTATTGTCGTCCGAACGAATGTTGTCTGAAGTTACACATTTGTCTTTTCTGCGCAACATTTGTGTTTGCCATTTACCGCACCAATGTTCGCCAGCGGTGGTGACTTTTCCTTACCTGCTCACGAAACGTCACACACGACATGACGTCACCCGAAGACGTCATCAAAAAGTCCAGCTCTTAGGCGTGTCCAATAGAACGAACAACGCAGGCGTGCGTGAGAATCAAACAACTTTTCCAACTGGTGGTAAGCGGTGGTGCTGCCTCTAGCGGCTATATTTTTTGTAATGATTTTTCTTGATATTTTACAAAAAATATATTGTTAAATTAGATCTTTTATATTTTTTATTTTTTATTAACCCAAAAAAGAAATATGTTTATTTTGATCAAAACAGTTTTGAAAAATAATTAACTTCTTTTGTATTAGTAACTGAACAACCGCTAGTCTCGCGTAGCTATTTTCGCAATGCTGTAAAATAAGACAATTCCTACCGGTCTTACGAATATGACGCACTTTGACTTACCCCGCGTTCGATGTCTCTCGGACGGCGAAGATTCTACGCCGTCCGGCCAATCACGTTCCATAACCGCAGCCGAGCCCCCGCTAACCTTGAACGGGATTGGTCGGACGACGTAGAATCTTCGTCGTCCGAGAGACATCGAACGCGGGGTTAACTTTTTGTTGTTTATTGTGATAATTGCCAAGATTCCTATAGATAATAATTGCTGTGAGTTTGATGGTGCTGGCAGGTGCTGGTGTGTCGTTCACGTTTAGAGCTCCGTAGCTTTTCACTTTTGATGTGATGAACTTCTAGTCTCTTGAAAAAGTGACAGGATTTCAGAATAATGCCTTGAGTTGTCGCAAAGGGAATATCAATATAGCTCAAGCTCACACGAAATAACTTGCTGAAAAATGTTCAGTGTGTTAAAAGATAAAATAAATGAGAAATATTGAGAAGAAATGAAACAAAAACTAAAAGGAAGGACTTATTTGTTCTAGGAGTTTTTATCTACCTACAATTCTGCTATTGAATGACCGAATCAGAAACCAGGCTGCTCTCTTTTTTTCAGGTTCAAAGCGTATTGAAAATGGACAGCCGGTACCTGCTCGTGCTGGGCCTGGGCCTGCTGCTGCGGTGGGCGGTCTCCCTTCACCCCCACTCTGGTCAGCGGAAGCCTCCCATGTTCGGTGACTACGAGGCGCAGCGGCACTGGATGGAGTTGACCCACAACCTGCCGCTGGCTGACTGGTACCGCAACACCACCAACAACGACCTGCTGTACTGGGGCCTCGACTACCCGCCGCTGACGGCCTACCACAGCTACCTGTGCGGCGCCGTGGCGGCCAGGGTCGACCCCAGCTTTGTGGCGCTGCATGCGTCGCGCGGGCTAGAGACGCCCGAGCACCGGCTGTTCATGCGCGCCACGGTGCTGGTGGCCGACCTGCTGGTGTTTTTGCCGGCGGCGCTGTGGTTCGCGGTGGCGCTGCGCCGCAGCCGCGCCGTGACGCTCACCGTACTGGCCGTGCTGGTGCTGTACCCGGGCCTGCTGCTGATCGACCACGGGCACTTCCAGTACAACGGCGTCTCGCTGGGCCTGATGGTGGCCGCCGCCGCCGCGCTGCTCGGCCGCCGAGACGCTACCGGCGCGGCGCTCTTCTCGCTGGCGCTCAACTACAAGCAGATGGAGTTGTACCACGCGCTGCCGTTCTTCTGCTACCTGCTGGGCACGTGCCTGCGCCAGCGGACCTGGGCCGCCTCGGTCGGGAAGCTGGCCAAGATCGGCGCGGCCACGGTGCTGACGTTCGGACTGGTGTGGCTGCCGTTCCTGGTGGACGCGCAGCGGGCGGTGGAAGTCGGTGCCCGCCTGTTCCCCTTCAACCGGGGCCTGTTCGAGGACAAGGTGGCCAACTTCTGGTGCAGCCTGTCGGTGGTGTACAAGGTGAAGCAGATGCACAGCGTGGCCGCTATCGCCAGCATGTGCCTGTCGACGACGGCGCTGTTCCTGCTGCCGACCAACCTGCTGCTCCTGGCCGACCCCACGCCGCACAACCTGCTGCTCTCGCTGCTCAACTCGGCGCTCACCTTCTTCCTGTTCTCGTTCCAAGTGCACGAGAAGAGCATCCTGCTGGCGGCGCTGCCGGCCGCCATGCTGTTCCCCGACTACCCGCTCTCGTCGCTCTGGTTCCTACTGGCCTCCACGCTCAGCATGCTGCCGCTGCTGCTGAAGGACGACCTCCTGCTGGCCACCGTCGCCACCACCGTCTTCTTCACGGTGACCGTCAACATGGCCACGGGGGTGCTGGACGCCGGCCGGCGCGCGGCGGCGCCCAAGCAGCGCTCGCGGCTGACGACGACCAGCGGCGGCCCGCCGGCCGACCCGTGCTCGCGCTGGGCCGTGCCGGCGCTCTACCTCTCGCTGGCCGGGTACGCGGTGCTGGCGCTGACCTCCGTGACGGTCAGTCCGCCGGAGCGCTACCCCGATCTCTGGCCGGTGCTCGTCTCACTCTACTCATTTGCACACTTTGCTGGGTTTTTCCTGTACTATCATCTCATTCAGTTCCAGTTTTTCGATGAGAAGTTTAAAGTTTGCTAATGCATGGGAGTTGTGTTTGTTACATGATCATTTTCTAATGCAGTGGGGTTGTGGGTTTGTTAATGATCAGGGAAAAGACCGGGGCACTGTAAGGGTTACTCGTGCTTGGGACCTCGGCTTTACACTGCCTCTGACGTGGTTTTCCCACGAGACATTGTTTTGGCATCGATGTGGCTAATGGGTTGCGCCGTAATGGACAGGGTTGGCCAGTGACAGCGCAAGTCATAAGGTGACACCCCACCGAACCTTTAAACTAACCACCGAGGTGGTTGAGGTGGACAGTGGACACAAGTCATAACATCACGTTCGAGTGGCAGTCACTTCATATTGTGCCTTACGATGACTGAGCTGAGCTGGTGATAAACTCGTGTCTAGACTGCTCAGAACACGAACCAACGTCTGAGTGATTTTTTTCTCTCTACCGGTTTCTACTAGGAAATGCTTCTCCGTGACTATAGTTTAACGTGGTGCAGTACAATCACTGACATTGTTTGGGAATAGGACAACGGCCAAGGCCTAACGCTTACACGGGATCGGGCACGGGTGTTTGTGGTGCACAATACTGTGATTTTTTGTGGGTTTCCATTAAACATATTTTTGAAGAACAGACTCGTTTCGTTGGATGGCAGTCTACCGGGCGATAACACCTTTCCCGTTCTTTACCCGTTCTTACAAACAAACTTTTCGTGACTTTGCAATGCGAGCTTGGCAATGTCTGGTGCAATGTTCATCACCATCTGCAAGCACGAGTCTTCAATCATGTATTGCCGAAACTAGGAAGTCGTTGGTCACGCTGAATTTAAGAGGGAGCCTCAGCCGAGTTTGTGCGGCTCGTATACCTCCGCGGGCGGCCTGTCATGTCGCGTTCCGAGAAGGTGTGTCGCCAAATACCGGCCTGGGTCGCCGGCCGCTGCCATTATCCGTATTGGTCGTCCGTAGTCTGTGACTCTCCGTACCCAGGCCGGGGCCGGCTGGCGTCGGTCGCGCCATGAGTCTTCTGTCCTCTCCGGGACACCACAGGACCGCCCACTGCGAAACAATGCCCTTCCCCGGGGATGGCACAGATCAATGAGCGTATTGTTTCTATACAATGCGGCGTTATAGAGCCGGCATAAATGTCGGCATAAAAAGAGACATGCTGGGGACAAGCTCGTCGCGCGGCGGACTTGTCGCCCCCACGGGACGGCGGAACGTCGAATTGATGCGGAAATTGCGCTCGAATCTGCGCTCGTGTGGCAGGGAAGTGAGGAGCATTGTCGGGGGAAGGCAGCGGCAAGCCGCAGCGTGCTCGTGAACCGGTCAGAAATGACCTTACGTTCTGCGCATTCCTTTGTATGCTCATTGTTCAGGCTGACACTCAAGTTCGCCCTTGTGAATACATAAACACCCATATGGCACTCTTATAAACAAGCCCATACACACATGTACACGCATAGATACGCGGAGTCGTCCACACTGCGCACTCGTATGCTCTTATCTAACTACAATCTAAAACTGTTCTCCAATTCGCCCGGCCAGACCCCTCTGCGCTGCTCTGAGTCTGACATACTCGTACGTCTTTATTCCGTAAACACCCGCGTACCCTGCGGATGTGCGCGGCTCACCCCAGTCGCCAGGCTGCTGTGGTAAGGCCCACCGACGGTTCAGGGTCCGCCCGATCCGCTGAGTGACGGGACGGAGGACTGCCCGGAGTCTGTCGCTGGAGAAGGCTCCCGGAGTGAACTATTGTCCGTGTCGTCTGCTAGGGGTGTGTGAGATCCGCAGCACCCTCAGTGTCGAGTGCTAGCCGGCGGGAGTGGCTGGAGATCTCATCAGAGGGCTTCTGATAATCGGAATCTCGGAAATCATGGAATTTATCCCCACTGTGGACATGGAATCAGAAGGTGAGTGACAGATGACGGCATAATTTGTAACATTTGCAACTGTCCAACAGCCAACTGTTTCGCATTATTGTCAACTGTGCAAATGATTATGTCATTGCCAATTGGCATCGGTATAGATAACGTGAATTCATATTATCAATGGTATCGGCCATCTAATGTACCCACAAAGTTATTAAAACATGCTCATCTCCGTGTCCACGCTAAGCGCGGGGACGAACTTAACTCCTTAAAGGGATTGAATCTAGCTATGCCATTTTTCAGGCGTGCCTTTCCCCTTTCTAGTGTTACGTTTGTTCTAACTTCTATGTCACACTTGTCTCATCTCGCAGACCTGCGGGAGCTGAGTGACGACGCCCGTCGCCTGGCGCTGGGCGAGCGGATTCTGGCGGCCCTGCGCGGCATCGGGTTCGTGTACCTGCTGAACCACGACCTGCCAGAGTCGCTGCGCAGCTCCGTGTTCCAGACTGGCCTCCGGTTCTTCGACCTGCCGCTGGAGACCAAGCTCAAGTACCACCGGTTCGTGCGAGCCGGCGCTAACGGCTACATGCCGCCCGCCGAGGAGGATCTATCGCGCTCCGAGACCGCTGACGGCGCCGTCCACGAGCTCAAGGAGTCCTGGGACATGAGGACGCCGGACGGCGGCCTGCCGACCGCTGACGCGCCGCAGTTCGGCGCTGACGTCAGCTCGCTAATGCCAGCGCTGTCGGCGCTCAGTCTGCGCGTGCTGGGCGCGCTGGAGGCGGCTCTGGGCCGGCCGGGTCTGTTCAGCACCGCTCACCGGCGGCAGCTGGGGGCTGCCAACGGTTCCACGCTGCGTGCCGTGCACTACCCTCCAGTGCCGGGCGCGGTGCCGGCCGGCGCCGTGCGCTGCGCCACCCACTCGGACTGGGGCAGCGTGACGCTGCTGCTGCAGGACCAGTGCGGCGGCCTGGAGGTGCTGAGCCGCGCTGGCCGCTGGGTGCCGGCGCCGCCCGTACCCGGCGCCGTGCTGCTCAATGTCGGCGACCTGATGGAGATCTGGACCGGCGGAGAGGTGGTGGCCACCAAACACCGGGTGCTGGTGCCGCCGGAGGAGCGCGCGCGCTGCTGCCGCCGGCTCTCCGTGGTCTTCTTCAGCCATCCGGACGACGAGGTGACGGTGGCGCCGCCCGACGGCAGCCAGACGTACCACGCGGTCAACGCCGGCGAGTACTTGGCCGACAAATACAACGCCACCAACCCCAGTGCACCAAAACAGGGCTAGTGCATTACGGGGCGGCGTCTCGGCTGTTTTGACCATTGTATCGTAATTATGTATTCGAAGGTATGCTACTTACTTAGTCCCAGGATACATCGTCATAAGATTCGTATCGAATGGTAGGTCGATGCGTAATTCGGTAAAGTACACCGCATATCGTGTATCACACTGCTGGTCCAATTCTGATAGCGCTCTACGCGGGTCCGTGATCTATGTAGACGTCAACATCGGGCCCTAATGATGACTGGGTCAATACGTCTTTGTCTTGCACACGGCACGGGCAGTGCTAATTTTGTTTCTGTCACCAGTGCCCTTTCATATAAGCGGATCAATCGGGCGAGGCAAGGCACCGGAGGTGCGGGTTCGGTGTATTCAACGTAGTTATTAGTTAACAAAGGGCGAAGCTCTGAAGTAGATTAAATACGTAGCTTGTTTTTCTTTTCGAGTTTTTTTTTTCACGATTTCAAGCACTGAGCGAAATGAAAAGTTATATGGCTTGCACAATCTTATCGGCGAAATAATGAGCGTAGTAAATGTCATGACTGCCTCTAACTTAACGTATTCGGTCGGTACGATAAGTAATGATAAGCGTTCTAAAACAAATACGGATTTAAAAAAAGATCCCGAGTTGAACTGAATTGTACGGGTCGATCGGGATCCGGTCGACAAAAAGAAATCCGGATTTAATGGTCAATCGCTTCTCTGCAGTGCTGTTTTGGTCATCAAGCTGTCTAGTAAAGTTCTTCTTTTGGTAAACAATTGTCTGGCACAAACTCATCTCGAAGAATTACAGGCAAAACCGGTCGTAACGCCTCGGAAAGCTGGCCGGCTGTCAAAGACGGCTCGTGCGGCGGTAGATAATTGCTGCTGCAGCTGCTCGGCGCTGGGCGAGAATTTGGCCGGCCGACCCGCCGTCCTTTCTCCGTCCGCGCCCCCTCACTACGCCCCTCAGGGTGCCCGCCGGGCCGCCCCCTGCTGTCCACAGCAGCACGGGCTGCCGGACCTCGCGGGGACTCCCGGGTAGTAACAGCGAGGCAACGCCCCGTGAACGTGTGCTAGAACGGCATCTGTTTGCAGCTTCATGTTGGACACTTCTTTGTGAAAATGATCCAGGTTGTCGCTAATAAGTAGGTGAATGCTCCCCTTGGGGCTACTTTTCACAATGCTATTACCATATCGAGCAGTTTATCATGGAGTGTAAATTGAAGCACATTTTCCGCCCACTATGGGGCTCATTTAGTTATGAAGGTCGACTACGCAATTTTCTTTACACCCCTAATGGCATACAGACGTTCACATTAGTCTAGATTTCGAGTTGGATGTGATAACAATGTGGTGCATCTGCAACGTGGGAGCGAACCCCTAGCGCTGAGCCAAAGCTGAAGGTCGGGCGACTGGCTAGTTTCTCGAGCTCGGCACATTTACCTACCCGAAGCACGAGAAGTAGACACTTGAGAGCTATCGACGACATTCACCTGAATTCAGTCACTAACATGTTCGGTCTCTTTTGACTCATTGTTCCTTTAGTGGGACCAAGGCGCTAGACAGAAGAAATAATTCTTTTTCGTCTGGTTTGAATCTCATCAACGGCGCCTAACCCTTGTTTTAGCGAACGACATCCACCTCGACCATCCACCGTCAGATATGCACAGCAGTCAGATGTTAAACTTCGTCCCAGCGATCCCTTTTTCCTACACAGACGGCCCTCTACATACGTCCCACGGCACCTACCCCTCTGCCCCGGTAGGGATGCTGCCCTCTGCCCCGGGAGGGACGCTCCCCTCTGCCCCGGGAGGGACGCTCTCCTCAGCCTCGGGAGGGACGCTCGGCTCTCCTCCGCCCCGACCTTCACCGTCAGCCGAGCAGAGCCGCGGACCTCGCTGACCCTATACCATCGCGGACCGCCGATAAATCCATCCGCAGCCGGGCACATATGTTCAGCAGATGGCGGCGCCATTTCAGCATGTGTTGAGCCCGCTTTGGAAACGATTTCATTGAGCCAGCTCGCGGAGAGAGGATCTGCTCTGGGCTCCATGGACGCCCAGGACCGCTCCGCCGCCGCCGGGCAGACGGCCCAGTCGGCGCTGCGAAATGGATCCAATAATGAGACCTGATGGCCCGCTATCACCCCATCGCTCTGCGCTAACTCCTCTCTCATTATTTCCACACCTCTTCCTTTCTCTATCTCGCCAAAGCTCTTTCCCCTACGTCCCAGCCAGCTCAATCGTTTTCCGCTGCAATGCGTTGCAAACAAATACAAAATTTAATAGGCCAAGAAAGGAATGAAGTTTAACCGGGAAACTCTGACGTCAGGTCATAGGCGTCAAGGCAGGAGCTTCGTTTTTTTTTTGGAAATAATTTCGCCATATATATAGTCACAGAGCTGCAATTTCGACACCATCGTGTTTGTCATGCTGATCCACTCGAATGATATACCTAATCCTACTTTCTGTTTCCGAAGAGTCAACTCTTAACCTGTTGGCATTGGATCAGGTTAAGGTCAATGCTGCTCCGGTCGCGAAATCGGTCGAGGGAGTTCATACAACAGTCATTTCGATTCTGAGCTGATTGCTCCTTTCTCGATTCGCTTATTCAATGTGACTGGCAGTTATTGACGAAAACCCCGATTGTCTGAGAAGCGACCTTAGTGACGCCCTACATGACATCACTCATTGGTTAAGAAATAAACTTAGCTCGAATGTTATAAATAGACGGATTGACAACACTAAAGCCCGCGACGTTTCGGTCGAGCGATTCACAGGTCTGAATTAATCTCAAATTTCATTTTTACCATTAGGTAGGTATCATTTGAAACACTCCAATATTAAATCATTTAAGTTAGTCAGTGTCGTCAGTGATTAGCTTATTTTTCATTTTGATGGATGTCTATTTACTAACTTCATATTTCTCATCACGTTTAACGTAGCAAGTCGTTACAGTAGGTTGATGTGTCTCTAAAAAGTCGTTAAATCATCGCTTCATTTCTGAGTCAGCCCGCGAAACCAGGTGCTGCACGTTTTGGTGACTTATTCGGGTCGTAATCGACAAGGTTCCGCACACATCGACAGCTTGTCTCCATCTCAAATGTGAATTTGACAATATAAATTCATGATGTCGCCGGTCGGCCCAATTCCATCCGGTGACCGGGCCGAACGAGGCCGCCGGTCGGCAGCCGGCCGCGCGTCGGTTCCCACTTACGACCATATCACTCGGACTGATGCCCCAGGGCGCTCTAACGTCCCGGCCATCCCGACCCGTCGCCCTGTGGTGACCCTTTCAGCGGCGGACCCGGTGACCTGGCGCTCTCGGACGACTGTGACCTAGAGATGTCAATCGGATACCAACTTTTTGGTATACCGATACCAAACCGATACCAACTTGGTATTTGGTATTTAAATCGTAATGTGTTTGGTATTTTGTCGGTATCATAAATCCTCATTAATGTATAAGAGGCTAAGAAATCGGTAAAAAGTTGGTATTTCCCTATTTTTCCAAATTTGGTTTGGTTTCGGTATTTTCCCGTGGTTTTGGTTGGTATTTGGTTTGGTATCGGTATTCCGATTTTCCGTAATTGACATCGCTACTGTGACCCGTTCCCTCCCCCGCCGGCCGTCCCGACTGACCCGACAGTCGCCGAGCGGCCGGCCGGCAGTTAGGCGCTACTCGTTGTTGTGCCATGCTGTCCTCTGGCTGCCCAATCTGGCTGATATCGTTAGACGGGCCCGTCGAATCGATGCGGGGACGCGTGGCCGGTCGGTCGGACGCCGGGCCGGGCCGGGCCGGGCCGGCGCCGCCAGTCCACCTGCAGGCGACGCCCGGCGCGCACCCTCCCGGAGAGCGAGCGAGGTGCGGCGGCACTGCAGCGACCGGCGCGCGGTAGACGGTGGTGCGCCGACCGACCGACCGGGCGCACTGTGGACGGCGAGAGAGCGAGCCGGGACGGGAGCTGTAGACAGGAGCAGTCTGATGCTGAATACGACTGTACACAGGCTCGGACCCGCCGTGCGCTGAAGTGAACGGAGTGCGTAGCGTAGTGGCAGCCCGAGGCCGTCAGTGCGCGGCGCCGTGCAGGGTTATCACCCGATTCGTGCAAACGAGGTGTAAAACAGTGCCCATTCAGTTGGTGTGCGTGCAGGCAGTGAACAGGGCGTTACGCCCGGCTCTGAGAAGCTCGTGTCATCAGACGGCGAACGGCGCCCGGTTAAGGAGCTCAGCAGATTGCTGCCAGCCTCACGGCTCCCAGGTAAGCAGACGCCGAGACGGTTTAACGGTTCCATAACTGCGGTCAAGGTCTGGCGGGGATTGTCAGATGATCGGGCTTTAACTGGGTAACGAGGCGGATAAAAGCGCCGCGGAATAGAGCAGACATCGTAACGCTGCCTGGAAGGGCTTTGAAGTCGAGCTTCACAGTCAAGCTCTTCACTAGTGCATATAAGGACGTGCTTCTAAGGCTATCTTTGTCTTAAAAAGGTCGCTGCGTGATAGTTAATTTCTCTATAATGTCGTCGGATGCTGGATAACAAGTAAATTAGTGGATGTGTCGATAATATCTAAGCCAAACCTAGTCCTGAAATGCATTTACATTTGCGAAGTAAGAGCCATGCTGTTTCCAGCTCACATTTGGGCGACTTGTCGCGCGGCGTAATGCGCGCAGCCTGGTTCTCAAAATGCTCGTCTGCATTAGGTGCTAACCACAGTGGCATTTAAACAAACGGGCGCACTCCGACGCGTTTCACTCTGCGTAATGAAAACAGCCCGCGAAGGACGGCCACGGCCGCTCTCCGTGATTGGTTTATCAGTGAGCGGCCTTTCGGCTCTTTTTACGAGAGAAAATTAATTACTTCTAGGGACTTTGTACTCGCTTTTATCCTTATTTATTCCGTGTCGGGGTGCGCATTAGCGAAGATGGTTCGTGACACTGTCCAGTTAGCGACTGGATGCTTGGTTTTAGACTGTCCTCAGATTTTTGCAGAAGTTAATGTCATGCTGCAACACGAGTCTGTTACTAATGACGACATAGTTTTACTTATGTTAGATATTACTCTTGAAGTATATAAAGCTCTACATAATTCGGCATGTGGGCATATATCGCAGTAAAAATTGAAACAAAACGATGAGTGACCTTTATCTTCGATTTTTGAAGCTCATTGCGAAAATGTGAAATTAAATGTACTTGCTGGCAATATCACATCATTTTACAATAATACGTTATTATAATTTTCACATAGGTTTTACAGGACCAAATCCCCAAGCGAATCGAAAGACTTATGAAAAATGCAACTTCGGTACGTCTCATTGTTGACCGATCTTTTTATAAAGAGCCGTTTCATGGAGAGTCGTACCTGAGTATACCTTAACCTGTAACTTTGTCATTCATGTCTTTTAATTAATTTGGGTATTCAACTATCCAGCCAATTAGGATATGTTGCGATATCCTTCATGGTGTCCCACAAGACGCTTAACTAAACTCTCATATCTTATCTACATAAAAGGAAAATATTACCTATAGCAGTCATGCCCGATGGCAAATGTACATTAG